CCTCCCCCCCCCCCCCCCCCCTCCTCCGCCTATACTTTTTGACCAGTCCCTAACTTGCATGACTGAAATTTCTTATTTTCTGCACAAGTTATTAGCGGAAATTAACTTGCGGTAGAGGGAATTAAGCAACGGGGAACATGTAAGTTCCCCTTCAAAGTTGGCGCTCTCTTCCCACTGCTAAAATATAAACATCAGTTACACGTAGTTCCCTGCTCTAAGACAAAGACCCCGAAGGGAACCTTAGGAAAAACCCCTGCACAACCATTATTTTCTACCCAAAAAATTACGAACCCATTCATTTGTTTCTTTCTTGTCTCAGATAATGGTCGTACACTAGAGTTCCCAGGACCTTTTCTTCTTTATTAGCAAGCGTTTGGTGAACAACACTATAGGAACTGAAATTGTTGCTGATTTTGAGAACTGCAAGCTGCATTGTTACTACGAACACAACTGCGTGAGTGTGAACTATCACGTGAGCACAAAAACATGTGAGTTAAACAACGCTACTCATCGATGGCATAATAACGAATTCAAAGATGAAAATGGATACCTCTATCATGGAGCAGATGTAAGTTCTTTCTATAGTTAACTGCTCTCCTTCCCCCTTTTCCTGCTCCTCCTCCTCCTCCTTCTCCTTCCCTCCTCCTCCTCAACATTATCATCATTATCACCATCATCACCGTGAACATCATTTCTCGTTTACTTTTCTTCTTCTTCTTCTTCTTCTTCTTCTTCTTCTTCTTCTTCTTCTTCTTCTTCTTCTTAAGGTGAAAAGCAAAATTTCCACTGATTATATCACTTCACCCTAATCATCCAGCTACACGTTTACTGTTATTTACTATTTTCTCTGTTTCTCTTTTAAGAATGCCTGTGAAGAGTTCGCTTGTTTAAATGGAGGAACCTGTCAATCCGGATTCACACTAGAAAGATATCGATGTTTGTGCCCTCTAGGTTTTAGGGGTAAGCGCTGTCAAGCAGGTAAGAAAATAAAAGAGGTAAAATGAAGCCTTTCTTTCACTTAAGATTTGCGGTCTTCGTGAATTGCTTTTCTTAGTATGATTTGCCGTCGTATTAAATCCATCCCGGCACACTTCAACGTTTCGTGGACTCCCTTTAGCGACGGATTTCATTGGACATGTTGGGTGGCCTTTCTGCATAGCGTCAAACTCGGAGAGCGTGTTAGTAACAACCAAAGGATGAATACTATTTTTTCCCTCTACAAACAATTAGGTGATTGAGAATGATCGAGCGGATTATTAGTTTGGTTGCACGAATAGAAAATCTTCGAGAACAAATCTACTGGTTGTCGTCTCAAAGATAAAAAACCGAGGGTCCGATCAAGTGTGAGGAAAAAAAAAACATTGTCAAAGAGTAATTGCGGCCGGCGACAAGAGGAGCCTGCAATCCTAATCTCCATCACGGCTGAACTGTACGTATTGTAGGCAGCTTCGTTTAGACTTCCACTAAGAATGCAGTGGAATGCAGAAGTCGCAATCTGATAACGCTCGTCTGGACCTTCTATCACTCGTTATCTGATTACGCCTGATTTGACTTTCTATAACTAACACTTACGCAAAGCACAGCGTTGGTTGAGAAAGAGCACCATGTCAGACGTATGCTGTCGTCCGCATTCCGTAACCTTTAGTACATAATATATCTTTGTTGTCACATACTGTCCTGCGTAGAATTGATTCAAGATGCATCTTAACTAAAATTAATTATCATTCAGATATAGACGAATGCCGGTTCAACTCTCACAATTGCATCAACAATGCCATCTGCATTAACACCAAAGGTTCCTTTAACTGTAGTTGCAAACCAGGTTATAGTGGGAATGGCCAAAACTGTTCAGGTGGGTGCTTGCGAAGTTTTATATATTTACTTAGGCTCGCCAATCCTTGTAGGATCACCGTTACAGCCCACACTGAATTACTGGGGCCCGTAACAGTTCCTTCCTTCATAAGAAATAGACCACCACACAGTACGTGAGTTCTTCATCGTCCCAAAGAATTTATTTGTGCCAGGGTTGTGAGATGGGGACAACGAGAAGACTAAAAAGTCTAACCGTTTTCAGATTTCTTCACCGTGTACTTTTTTGCACCTGTTTACGTTCTTAAGTTTTGAGTACTATTGGTTATAAAAAATAAGTAAAGTAAACGGCACACAAGCAGAGAAGAGCTATTATATTATGTAAACGACTCCTCGAAGTATAGAAAAACAATCTGGTATGATGTGCTTTGCGCCTCGTATCATGTTAGAAACCAAATTTAAATATATGTGGTTCCTTTTTTATTGATGCAAAACAACTTGGCAGCGAGTTTCACAACAAAAGTGGTTCTTGTCACATTAGCAGTGCTTGTATATTAGTTCAATAATCAGACCACCACTTTGTGGAATTCCTCTAATACGACAGATAATGCAGTTTTGCAGTGTTTATGTTTATCTTTTCTCGTACCAGCACCTTTAAATTTACTGGGTTTATCCTTCAGACATAGATGAGTGCAACGTTGCAAATAATAGCTGTCATGAAAACGCTTGGTGTAATAACACTCAAGGATCATTCTCTTGCTCCTGTAAGCCAGGATACGAAGGTCATGGATACAATAATTGTACAGGTAAAATTCCTTGGGTTTTTTCAAATCCATTTAAAACAATTAGCCTTAGTTTGAGAGGTGACTGATGACATGTTCTGAAATCAGTGCGAGAAAGGGAATGTGTTTTAACCGTAACTGACTATATTTAACAATTATTCCTCGAGCCGAATGGGCTCTGAGTCAATAGCCCATGAGACCGAAGCTGAATGGGCTATTGACTCAGAGGCCATGAGGGCGAGAGGAATAATGTTTTTAGTAAAATCCAACTGGTTGGTCAAAAAATATCGAGACAAAATAACTTTAGCTAGCAAATCGCGATTCAGCCGCCATTGTATTCGGGCTTTCAAAGCCGGTACTTTTTACTACTGGTGGGCTACAACATATAGCCTAGTAGTAGCTCAACCAATCAGAACGCAGCATTGATGATAGACCACTAGTTGGATTTTACTAAATAGTTATATTATACTGGTGGCTATATTCACTACCTGTTTGTTCAGGCAGAATAGATTTAATATTTACTTTAATTATCACTCAGACGCAGACGAATGCCTGAACAACTCTCACAATTGTAGCGAAAATGCCACCTGCACCAACATCGAAGAGTCCTTCAACTGTAGTTGCAAACCAGGGTACATTGGAAATGGCCACAACTGTTCAGGTTGGTTCTTGGAATTCCTGTCTCGCTTTCCGTTAGTTTTGAGACTTCTGCTTAAGTACAATAGGGTTAATGTTCAGCATTGCACTTTTATAAATTGAAGTAAATTAAAGGAAATTGTTACTAGCTCTTTTTATAATAATTTCATTTATTTGTTCATATATTACTTACTTACTTATTCAAATCTAACAGCTCAGTCGTCACGACTATTGTGGATAACGTCAGAGCTCATCTCTATGTATTTGCACAATGCGGAAAACCAAGAGGGAGTAACTTTTAACCCCCTATTCTGTACTACGATGGGAGTATAAGATAAGATGGTTGACCGAGATAAACAGTATCCATTTATGATCGACTTCTTGGAAAAAGAGAGATCCGGCCGACAGCTTTTACTAACATTTCTTAGAGGGGGGCTTCGTGGGTGGAAAAATTCTGAAGTCATTCTCAATCACACAAAAAAACAGTTACACTTCGACAAACAGCTCTTGCACAATTTTACTTTGGATAGGAATATTATGATACATAATACGACCAATATGCCTGCCAGGTCAGGTTGTGGACTGATAAAAGCCGATCAAGCTCTTCTTGGCGGATATAAATGAAGACACTACATCACAACATGTTAATTAACTATTAACACAGATCACGACATTACTAACACGGGGGAACTGATTGTATTTGTAGACTCTGTATGAGCAAAGCTGAATCACGAGATCATTCAAAATTCAGATGCATTTACAATGTAGTAACTATGTCCCAAAACAAAAACTAATAATTGTAAAAAAAAAAAACTGGTAGTGCTCGAGGTGATGCATGGTTGAGACGCATATCAGCGAATAATCTACTTAATTCCTTTAAAAAATGTCATTAGTCTCTTAAAAACACTATTACGGCGATGTCCAGTAGTCTTTGGACTACCCTTAAAAGATTTGGTATTAATCTACACTTTCGTCAATCCCTTTACTACATCCTTCCGTCCACCTGGTCCAGGCGATCATCCCATAAAAATGTATGCAGTTTTATCTCGCGTTCCAGTAAGAGACACCTAATCAGTTCGATCTGCTAAGGTAGATCCTTTGTTCAGTGTTCCTTAACTGAACCGTGCTATAACTCACTTTCACGCTCTCGTTCATTTCGGAATTGTCACGTGGCTTTGCTGCTATTCCTGGATGTTTGCTACAGAGTTAACGGTATTTTTTGTTTGTTTTGACTGGTTTTCTTTTTTAATGTTATTTTTCCTCTTTCTCTCTGTTCATTATCATTCTAATATGCATGCATGCACGCATGTTTTTTTTTTTCAAGAAAGATTAGTCATCCATCCAGCCATCCATACATTCACTTTTCCACTTATCTACCTTTCTATCTAATCTACCTGCAGGACATGAGGAAAATGAGACTGTTGTTTGCTGTGGTATGCAGAGAATAGATTCACTGGCCGTGATATTTTCTCATCCAAAAAAACCTTTTTGTATGATCCATGTGTTTTCATTTTCAGAATTTTCAATAAACTCGACAATATTACATGGAAATCAGTATTATCTCAGACATCTTCACCGTTTTCTTGCTAGCGCTCCAGAGGTTGGGGAGGATTCTTCCTGGTTTCTTTGCTACAATGCTACCTCACAGGGTTGGGGAGCCATGACCTTCCATGATAGATGCGACGGTAAAAAAAATACTGTGACCATCATACAGAAAGACCAATATGTCTTTGGAGGATACACTGACATCCCTTGGGGTAAGATTTGATATTTAAAAATTAATGAATGAGGCTGAGTATCTTATGAAGAACGGCTGAGGCGGATAACACCCTCCGAGATCTCCATAATTCTTCATATGATACGAAAGCCGAATTCAATAATTGTTTTATTATTCATTCAAAATGATTCCTAGTTTAAAAACTTAGCTAAAACATGCTTACCTCCACCGATGTTAAGTTCATCTTCGACAGTGTACATTTATGTTTGTCCAGCTCTACAAATATTCTCCAAATAACAGATGTCGCCCTCCGAGTTGTCTTCTTGCTGTTTTTGCTATGTTTTTAGCTATTATTTCGCCTAGTTCCAGCTGTAGTTCTTACCCTTGCAACGAGTGAAGTGTCGGCCATTTTTGTTTTCACAACCAAAACAACTCAACCTCGTCCCCAAGTCTTCTCGGTTAACGGTGCATTAAACAGTAGCGGGCTGCATTTTTGACGTCATTTCCTCGTTAAACACAAAATTCTCCCAAATTTGGTCATGAGTAACTGGTTATGGTGAATTATGCGTGTGCTTTTAGCCAATCAGAATTTGGGAAATATTTTGAATGAACAATAATTACGTTTAAATGTAAAGACATTTTCAGCCAAAAGGAAGTGCCAGGTGAACCTTAGCAAACTGGTTAACATGAACATTGTT